TGCAGCCACAGAGCTTTCCTGATTGCGTTTTCCAAAGCTTTTACGGTATGAACTGTACTTTTACTTCCAACGCCTATTTACAAAGGACTATTGTGTTCGCGAAAATTTCTTAAATGGGAAGTTATGTTTTTGGATGTTTTATGACCTGTACATCACAAAAATCATGTCACTCATTTCCTTCGGTCTGTCTGTCGGTCTGTCTGTCGGTCTGTCTGTCCGCTAATCCTTGGCCCGTCCGTAACTTTCGACACAAGGTGACTACTACGTCAAGGACGAAAAAGCTTTATAAACCGATTCGGTGACGGGAGAAGAAGGCCAAAAACAAAAAAAACACGCAAACTTCATCTTTTTGTTGTAGGGGTGGGGGAGGGTATATCTTAACTTTTTTTTATGTATATTTACGTATACGCTCTCTACCTCGGTAATTCTCGGCAGATATCGTATTGCTTAGTGGCTTACTATCCCTATTTACATGTTGCAGACTTGTAAATGATCTCAGAAAATATGATCGTATATCGAATGCCATTAATGACCTCAAATGGAGTTGCCTTTAAAATCTTATAGAGAAATGCTTTCGATATCCTTCCGTGCTTCTGGTGTCTGTATTCACCTGCGACTAATTAGTTTTTCTCAGGGGTCTAACGTGTGCCGAACATAATTATGAACTGATGACGGTGTTTCGTGGGATGTGCAGAGTCAGCCTACTTGACGCCATTTTTCCCAGATAGGACCAGAATCTTACAGATGGAGTCAAAAAATCTGCAATTAAAGGAAATTAGTTTATTTACTTGAAAGCTTACGTTTTGCTGTGAGCTAAGATTATAATTTTAACGTGGACGACCGATATCAACAAAGCGAGGCCGCCTTGACAAAATAACGACGCGAGCGACTCGACGTCACGTCTGAATTGATTGGTGTCATTATGAGTAGGATGAATTTTTCATCGCATGACGATAACTACGACTTCTTACTGATTGGCCTTACTGTGAATATATTGCTTGTTTTATTTACGTAAACTTCTGTAGAAACTTTCGCAGTTCCTGCTGCAACTTCTTTCCATCGACGGTCATGGATGGACGTGAGTAGATCAGCCCGGCTTGTGGCGGCGGCCAGACACGATGTCGTATATGGGCATCGCGAGGCTGACGCGGCTGCTGCTGACTCACTTTTAACGATTTCCACTGATAACCAACTGTGGCTTCTTTAATTGTTATTGGAAATATGTCAGCAGACGAGGTATCGTTTTTCAATGATAAAACCGTCGCGTTACTGTCGATTCACGTTGAGAGATACATTGAGGCCGAGAGAAGGAACGAACAAATCAAATCAGTATTGCACTTACAAAAAATGAACACACTAGATTTGATCTAGGGCACTGAATCGTCGACAGAAAACACTAAATTGACTCAGTACCTGCTTTTTATGAAGTGCTTCTCAGTGCGCTTTTCTTTCGTCTCCCTTCCTTCGTTTAATTTATATTGGCATAAAATTGAAAATTCCAGAATTCCGCACAGTGGTTCAGAAGTCCAAAAATATGGCCAAAACGAGAAGGATTCACTAAATTCCACCGAAAAACTTCATCAACATGTTTTCGAGATCGCTGATAATGAATTTGAAATCCATTTGTCAAAAATCTAAATGACGGATCCAATATGGCAAATATGATTGAATAAAAATCTTTGAACTACGTTCGAATTCGAGTTTTTTTAATGTTTTTGAGCTAGCTGGTAGCGAATTTATATCGACTTTATCCAAATTAAAATGGCGGGATCAGTGTGACATTTTTTTTGGATTGCTCTCGAATTTGAGTTTTGTAAGTTTTAAGGATCTCTGATAACGGATTTAGTATCGATTCTTCAAAAATCAAAATTTCGGTTCCATTATGGCGGACATATATACAAAAAAAAATGTTGCGCTGGCACCCCCACCCTCCAAATCAGTGGATACATTGCATTTTAAACTATGGAAGTTGGAATGCTTTCGAACTGAAATATTCCAATATTCTATTTTGTCGGTGACGATACAGTACTTGTTATAGCTATACATGTAAGTTGTTTGAAACGTAGAACTTCTAGATGTAGCCTTAAACATTCGAAACCTATTTTCAATTTAAAAATGTTGTATAAACACAAAAAACAACTTGTTGATTTGGACGCAAAACAATGACATTCCTTTCAATATTATGTATAGACCGCCACTCCAAAATTATGGAAAAAATAATGAAAATAAAACTAAAATGTCCTCGATACGTCGAATAATTGGAAATAAAAAATATAAATATTTTTGCATTATGTTGACCACTTGAAAGTCGAACGTACCATGAATTTTTATCTATTTACCACCACTAAACCCCCTCATTAAGGTCCTCTGGGGCCCATCCGAAATCAAGTTCTATATATGCGCTAGAAGACACTGCCTTAACGTGTATATTTTTAGTACTGTCTCATTTATTGAACTGTAATTCTCTATGCTTTGAAATTTGACTTGTATTTGTCTAACTAGAAAAATGTATCAATAAAATTTTCACACTGTGCTGTTAGGAATTAAGAAGGCAAAATGTTTCATGACCGAGTGTTATACTTAGAACAGTTTTTACAGTTTTAATGAGCGTTCTGGGGCCCATAAAGAGCTAAAACTATAATAGGAACTGGGACATAGACACCGTAAATCTTTGGCAAAAACTAATGAACAAAAAAGAATATATGCCACTGTTTTCTTTGCTAGTTAGCCATATTGTCCAATTTAAATTCCAATTCTATCAGTCCAGTTTACATTTTTTGCTTCCAATTAAAGTAGGTTTCTAATTGAAGTAAGGGGTGTTATTATCAATTAAAACGCTATAAGTGAAATCTAATTTGATTCAGTTTGAATTTTTTGCAATTAACACATACCAGCCTAAGAAACTCATGGATATAAATGCATTTTGTGTCAGGAAAACCTATTTTAATTTAACAAAGAACTCATGTTTGACAGTGCTAAATAATAATATAAAAATAGGTATGTAGTGTCAATCCTGATGACTAATAGGGTACCATTGGAATACTTCAGTGACAGTCAACGAATTCGGACTAGGTAGAACTAGCATATTATTCTAATATTCCAGATAATTGCCGAAAATGGGGAAGGTTTCTGTGGAACGCACTTTGCAGTCTAAGCTGAAAGAGAGCAGATCCTTTTTTTATAAGAGTTTTATATATAATAGTCGTCGGTGTTGCAGGTCATGCATCTCAACGTTGGGCTTTTACCTGGACAGTTGTGGGGCAGAGTTGATTTGTTTAATTCCACTTCTTGTTCCTTTGTGGAAATGCAAAATATTGGAGATAAACCAATTTTTTGATGCATACTGAAAAGGGCTAACCTAAACTTTAACTTTTATCGCGAAAATAGTAATTTTCTTTAACATTTAGTAAACGAAATTCTATTGAGGAAGCTCAGTAGGCTCAAAAAACTGTAAATATCAAATTGATTAAATTACTTCTAAATCTTTTTATTACATTAAAATAGAAACAATGTAGGACTAATTTCGATATTATACTCAACTAGGTACATTATTTAGAACAACCGAGTAGAAGTCAAGCAAGGTCTCCCACTATTTCCATCAGCTATTCCTGCTGCTCGATGAAGACAACTTTTCGTATTTTTCACCTTTCAAAATCACGAATTACGCAGACGTGTTCATATTCCATTAATAAATATTTAAATTCATTTTTTGCCTTGTTTAATTTATATCTGTTTATCAACAATAACTGAGCGATTCACATCGCAACCCAGGAAGTATTTCTGCCCTGTGCATCCCAATAATCATAGTTGAGGTGGCATTTTTGGTAGTTAGTGGTTATTTTACCAGACTTTTTGCAGGTAAAATTTGAACCAAGCTCACCTTTTAAAAATAAATTGATCTGTTTTTGTCAATCACACCGGCAGGGGTATCATGTATCGTGAAAAGTGACGTTATATTTTATTATTATTATTTTTTTTGACATTATACTGTTTTTTTGACGTGTAGGTGTAAAATTTTGTCTCGCGTACTTTTCTAATGTATTATCTCTATGTGTCAGTTGGTGAATTAAAAATGCTTAATTCATTTCATATTTTATTTTACTCATCTGTTCCACTAAAAAATGGATTGGATTGGATATTTTTTTGCTGTATTAAAAAGGTCATTCTAAACTTTCAGTATTTGTATAAGTTATTTGATGTGCATTTTGATATAAACATGTAGAATATACTTACCTTGAAGTATCATACAATTCAAATAAATCAATAACGAGATATTTCGTAAATGACCATACGGTATTTTTCACGAGTTTCCATTACGTTTTAACATCTATTGAGGTGAACAGTGAAGTGAGAATTGGGTAAAACTCAGGACCGTATTCAGAATTGTGTATCCCAAACATATTCGAAAGCTGTTTATCATGCTTTATTTCTACCTGACCTGGAATATACTTATGATCATTAGTTGATAGTCATTTTGTTTGTTGCGTTTTTTCTTGTGTGCCAAGGAACTTTTCTAAATAAAAGCTTTGACAGGAAGTAGACAAAATACGACTCTGTCTACAAATCGAGCATTGACAGAATTATGTCACTTCTCCGTATAGAGTATTTTGAAATGTTACTGGATAATCAGCTGTTATTTGCTCTCACGTTTAACGTAACGGATACTCGTCAAGGTACACTACTGTGCTTGAGTAGCATTATACTGTACAAGATTGCTGCGATCCATAACCTTCAGGTCTCTCATCAGAGAGGAACTCGCTGTCAGTCTTATCTCCAGCTCACCGGCAAAGATCGGATTGTCACTCTGAATTCCTGCATGCAGAGTGATGTCATCAGCAAACATGTGGATTAGAATATTGGTTAAAATATAACGGAAGAATGATGATACGGCCACCTAGTGGATGTCGAACAGAAATATTGAAAATCACAGACATTTAGCCGATTTGAGGTTATGAACAATTTTAAATTCAAACTGGTAATTCTCTTTTATAATTTTTCAGCTTCTTCCCAATATACACTTTACTCTCGACAGCCGGAAGCCATTAGAAACACATACTTCAAAGGTACACGAGAACGAACTACGGATGGCACCTATTGCTGGGAGGATGTACATTCCCTCATTAAATGAAGATATCTCTCAAATGAATTGAGAGTTTTATTACTGAGCAATGTTTTTATAAACAATTTTAATAACTGATTGCTGTGAAATTCTTGTTGTAACACATGCACTCAAATTTATAGCTGTCTTCCGCACTAACGTAGATATTTTTTGCGTAGCTCTAATTAAATCAGAGTTTATTATGCATAAATATACGTAGGTATCACTTTGACGTATGATAATAATCTTCGAATTTGAATATTAGGGAGCTAATAACACATGCTAATGTCGTCGAAACAGCAAAAAATGGAAAGATATCAATTAGGCAGTAGTCTAGTTTTGCTTTCATAAATCGCTCCACTCGTTTACCAAACCCATAAATAATGACTTTCTAATACCAACTACCTGAATGGACCATTAGTCATGAATTTTATTGCAAAATATAATGCTTCCGAGAAATCAATCGGTTTACTGTTAAATCTCTAAAGCCTCTAGGTAAGAGTATAGCAGTACACCTAATACGCCTCTAATATACTGTATAAAATGAGAAATATTTTTATATTAATGAAAATTTTGTTACCCGAAAAACTATTTGCACGTGATTAAAGAGTAAATAAATAAATAAAGAGGGATTCAAAAAATGTTTTACTATCTAAAAATATTTCAACTACACCCAAAATCACCCTTTGACTAACAAAGTGGTAGTCCGTTTTTGTGCATTACCTAGCTACCACAAACCAAGATCAGCCACAAGGCCTAAAACTAAAACATAAAATAATTCCATACAAGCGGAATCGCACAGCAACCCTCTGTTGCGTGATTCAGTAGACTACACAGTCGAGCAAGTTCGCAAACATTCCAGGCCGCGCCTCGCACTGTGATCAAAATTAAATTGTAAATTCAGACCAGCCAAAATTATTTCAGTATACAAAACCGATCAAAATTTTTTTTTGGAGTTACAAAATAATTCGAGTAGTCAAAGCAATAATGCTTAAGCTATTTCAAATGATTTACTTCTTTTCTTTGCTCTATATCTTCCTTCCTTTTTTTCCTTCTTTCCATTTTCCCCTTAAACATGTTTGGTATCTGGGTAGCCAGACCTGACAGACTAACAGACCGACGAGACTTTTAACTAAGAGCAAAGGTCCACCGGACCGCTCTGAAGAATAATGACGAACAGTAGTATAATTGTATAAAACCGATTAAATGTGATCCTACATATTAATTTCGTTTCATATGGGGATAATTTTTTTGTTACATTGACCCCTTGACATTGATCAGAGATCGTGAAGCTTTCCTGGTTCAGCGACTGACGTTGACGGTACTTCAAACAATTAGTGCTTACAATGAATATATATTGTACTTGATATAATGCGAGTCTCATAGCTGTGGTACTTGATCTGAGTGCTGAAATAAGGTTTGATATAGGCGATACACACTTATACATATATAATTATTTCATTGCTTGCCGTGTCGACGCAGGAAAGTATTACCACCAGCAATGATTTTACGCCTTCTTCTGCTCAGCAATGCTCAGCTTAAATGTGGAAGTATGCACCTACTTATCGGAATATTAGTATGCTTGATATGTTTGTCATCCTCCAAAAAGTTTTCCCTTTTTTATGTTGCAAATATAAATATGATACCAAATACAATTTAAAGATTCCTATTGAATTATTTTTCGTATCATTCAAAATCTGCAGGATCTGAGTCTAGAGCAGGGTTTCCGAACCTTTTTCTTGAGGAGGCTCCCCGGACTATTAATTATAATTTCATGCCCCCCTTTACTTTTCCAATAAATACAAAAAACGCATATTATATATATATATATATATACAAAGACTTTTATTTAAATTCTAATAAAGAAACTTTAAAAGTTTAACCAAACTAATAAATGCTTTTTATCGAAAAACTCGAATGAAATAAGAGTAGGTACTAATGAGACACTTGAGATTGCATGTTCTGTACCAGTTGGTTGATTCTACAGTATATTCAGATAAGAGATAGACCGGATGTAAACAAAAGGTTCGGGTGATTTTCACGCTAACGCCGCCGTCTCGACGTAAAACAGGAGCCCTCATTGGTTAATTCGCAATTAAATGCCTATGCCGAGCGGCAGAGCAGTCGTATCAAGGCAGAGTCACATTCAGGTTCAGACGTGTTACGTATGTCGTGTGCATCATTGCAATTTGATATTTCTTTGGACGTTTTCGTTTGTTATCTTATTAAGTTGTTGAGTTTGTCGTTGTTATTGTTATACCTTGTTATTGATTGTTATTGTTATCAACTGCTTGCGCAAAATGCCCAGTAGTACAGATACTGCCGATGAAGTTGTAAACTCCTGTAGTCCACCTAGGAAATGCTCTAAAAAAAGACACCTGAGTGCAGAAATGAAAGAGGTCATTTTGAATATATACGTAGTCATGCCATAAGTTCTGTCCCTCGTTTTCAAACAAGTGTAGACCTGTTAATACTTGTCCGATTGTTTACATTGTGGTGTCAGTTGATTAAGCGCTTTTCGGGTAATTACATATACCTCAGTTTGTATTGATCTCTCGAAGCATAACGATGGAGTGGGGCAAGGCAGAGAACCGTATTGCAGTGATAGCTTTACATAAGTGTAATCACAGTGCTAGTCAGATTTTTGAACTCTTACGCGGCCTTCAAATATCGCGTAAATTTATGTCTAGGACCATTCAGCGGTACAATGAGACGTCCTCTGTTGATGAAAGGCCAAGAAGCGGAAGACCTCGTCAAGTAAGGACTCCAGCAGCCATCAAAGCCGTAAAAGCCAGGATTCAAAGGAATCCACTCCGGAAGCAGAAGATCCTATCCAGGGAAATGAAGATTCCTGTCCGGACGATGTCGCGCATCATTAAACAAGACCTAGGGCTAGGGGCTTACCGGAGACGTACGGGCCAGCGACTTACGGCCACCTTGCGACACATCAGGGCGACAAGATCCAAGAAGCTCTTGGAGAGGTACGCAGCTGGGGGATTCCGAAAGATTTTGTTCACGGATGAGAAAATCTTCACCATAGAAGAAAAATCCAACCGACAAAATGACAAAGTGTATGCAAGGAGTTCACAGGAAGCTTCGGAGATCATTCCGAGAGTTGAGAGAGGCCACCACCCTGCGTCAGTCATGGTTTGGTGGGGGGTGTCCTACGAAGGGGTCACTCAGCTCCATTTCTGTAAACAGGGCGTGAAAACAAAAGCGGCAAACTATCAGAGCGACATACTGGATCCTATCGTCAAGCCTTTAAGTGGTACATTGTTTGCCAACCAACACTGGGTCTACCAGCAGGATTCCGCCCCCGCTCACAAAGCTAAGAGTACGCAGCGCTGGCTGGAAAGCAATGTGCCAGAGTTCATTGCTGCGGAAGATTGGCCCTCAGGGAGTCCGGACCTCAATCCTTTAGACTACAAGTTGTGGGACCTGCTAGAGCAGTTGGCCTGCTCCAAAGCACACCGTAATATCGAGTCCCTGAAAGCGGATTTGATCCGATCAGCGGCAGCTATTCCTTTGGAAGCTGTGCGTGCAGTGATAGATGAGTGGCCCGCGAGATTGAAGCAGTGTGTGAAGGCCAAGGGGGGACATTTTGAATAAAACTGTTTGATTATGAATTCTAAAAATGTTGTCGAATAAATAATATCTTTCATATAAATATATCTTATCTTGTTTCATTTTTATCATGAGATTATCATGGGACAGAACTTATGGCACGACTATGTATAAGATCGAGCGCGAGGAGAACGAGGTATCAACCATCAAAGAAATTGTTGTGAAGGTTTCTCACAAAGTTGGGGTGGGTCGGGCATCAGTGTTTAATGTGTTAAGACAATACAAAAAAAATCACACCTTTTCTGAGCCAATGACCAGTAAACATCGCAAAAGTATTGTTAAATCATTGGATGAAGCTGATAAGCATGCGATTAGGAGGAAAGTGCATGAATTCTTCTTTAGGAATGAAATACCTACTATAGATAAAGTACTGCAGGAGGGAAATGGAGATACAACGTTGCCAAATTTCAAACGATCAACTTTCCATGCGTTACTGAAGCATTTAAATTTCAAATGGAAAAAACGGGGTCGTAATAGTTTACTACTGGATAGAGAAGAAATTGTGCTATGGAGGAGGGATTATTTAACAAAAATTGGGAAATATAGAAATCAAAACAGGAAGATTTATTACCTTGATGAAACGTGGGTAAACGCAGGACAGACTACAAGTAAAGTATGGGTTGATGATTCTGTAACTTCATCGAGGAGGGCCTTTCTAGATGGACTGTCCACCGGATTAAAAAATCCAGCAGGTAAATACAAGTAATAGACAACAATCGGATGTTTTTCAAACCTTGGGAACAAGGTTCTAAACATTAATTCCAGGGGGCAGATAAAACATATTACAAGTAACAAAACTTTTATAACTTTCGATAAAATGCGTGGATGTTTTATTGTCATTTTCGTTTGTTAGAACTTTTTTAAGCCATGTTTTTATGTGTTTTCGATATTTCAATAATTTTTTAATATAATCTTAAAATATGTCGAATATTATAAACTTAAAAAAAGTTACTAAGTTTTATATTGTGTACCGTTCCTAATATTTCTAATCATTTTAATTCATACTTTAAGCTTTATAAAGTTATAATTTGTTAATATTAATATTTGCGCGTATTTCAGGTTCCTGATCATTCATTTTTTAAAGGTTTATAACTTTAAATTAAATTGTGAAGCGCTGAGTAATCATACGACGTTCAATATTCTTTCTTTCAATATGACTAAATAATCCCAATTATATGAAAAAGGTTCGCTTATTGAAATAAATCTACACCTGTTAGTACTTCGATTTCCAGGTAAAGGGAAAAGGCTCATTATCTGCCATATTGGCAGTGAGGATGGATTTGTTGTTGACGGTCTGTGGTGCTTTGAGTCTAAGAAAACTGGAGATTACCACGAGGAAATGAATGGCGAATCGTTTGAACAGTGGTTTTCAAAAAGTTTACCGAACTTAGAGGAAAACGCAGTAATTGTGTTGGATAATGCGCCTTATCATTCTCGAAGAATGGAGAAGGTCCCAACAACGGCTTCAAGGAAAGTTGATG